TTCTAGGAGTTGCTTAGTAACCGCTGGTGAGGATTAGGTGGACCTATAAATTACGGTGTAAATGTAAACTTATTTTCCCATTAGTTAAATAGAGTAGACCTGGTAAACTTCTACTTAGAAACCACTAAAATTGGCACCTACTCACCTATTAAGGAGAAAAATCATAAGCAGTGCAACTTCATAGTTCATGTGAAAAAAACTGAAAAACGACAAATTGATGGTCTTTGAGGCTCATTGGCTGGTATCTGATGGTACTGCATGTGGATGGAACTCATTCGCTTGACTTCTACCACCACTTTCCCTGTCCATCTAATGCGGGTGTAAACCGATTGTTTCGCCACCCCTCCTCAAGTTAAACACCACTGCGAGCCATTATTGACACCTTCATTAATGTACTTCATCGTAATGAAAGACTGAGGGCAGGGGATGGAGAATCAAGGGCAGACTCAATTGTGATTTATCACACGAATCCATTTACTTATTTATTCACTTAGTCGTTTGTTCATTTACTTTTAACCTATTTTTGGGTGACATGACCTGCTGACCCCTGCCGCGTCCTCATCAAACGTTACACAATAAACTGGACCTGAAGCTTCCGCTCTTATCTGCATTTCAGCTTCACCCCAATTCGTAGCACAGACATGCTCGAGTCACAGCTTTCACGTCCAACCGACGCTTTGTAAATAGGCGGGTTAGAAAGGATGGGCGAATAGTGACGAGAACAATGCATAGTAATAAACCCCCACATGCATTTTATTTGTCTCTGCAGGTTGCAACAAGTCACCGTAGAGAAGTAAACCGAACGCTGTAGTAGCTTTTTTGGTCACCTGGTACAGGGTGGACAGTGGACATCAGAAGTTCAATCAGTGATATCTACCACTGAAGGACCTTAAGCATTTCATAGTAAGCTCCCTCAGACAAAATCTTTTGGTGGAACCGAATACTGTTCGCAATGCTTTACGATCAAGACTGCTGATGACAATAATTGATGGACTGTAAAGTTGTATCAAGAAAATCAAAAAAGCCCTTCTGGCCAGACGGAAAAAGTTGACGAAGTAAATGCACGAATTTTGCGTTTCCATATAGCTAGGCGCGATCAAATCAATGGAAGGATAAAGACAGTTAAAGTGATCACGGTAAACCTGCAGGTCAGTACTGGATGAAAATCCACCCATCGATGCGGTGCAAAGCCATTCGAAATCGCCCATAGAGTTTTGGTAATAAAAGATTTGGAAATAGAATTCACTGGCAACCAAACCATAAAAATCGAAAAGTTATAAAGCATACAGGAAAGGATTACTCCGAGGACTCTTACAAAACCAAACAAACCGGTTAATAAACGTACGTTCAAGGCATCACTGCTCACTACTGAACCGTTTTATTAATTCAGACCAGTGTCAAAAGTTCATCCAAAGAAGGAAAAGAGGAAGAGGCAGCATGTAATTCAATCTTCTCAATTTATGAGAGTAGCTAGAAGTTTCCTGACTCATTGCATGCACCAACGCCATAAAAGCATCACACGGAGAGGGCATTACGGGTGGTAAAAAAATAATAAATGAAGATGGCAAATTGGGCAGTTTTTACGTACCTACCAGGAGATTAAACTCATCACCTCTTGAAGTGAATTTATCAAAAAGAGTGCCTTTGCATAGAAGAAAATAGATCAGTAAAGGGGAGAGCATCCACGAGTTTGTTCACTTCCATTTTCTTCAACAAAGTGGTAAGTAATTATTACCTCTACCCGACAAGTTTGCCGTACAAACTGTTTCCATTGTGTGACTGGGAAGGAATAAGCAGGAAGAAACAACTCAGGAGGGGCAAGCCAAAAGCACAAATTCACGTATGCTCATGGTGTTTTCCACGAGTAAATCAAACCAGGCTTCATCTACAACCGCGCCTAAATGAGGGAGTAAAGACCCAGGAGGAAAAGTAGCGAGCGAGTCCGGAGGAAAGCAGAATGTGCATTTGATTTGTCTATAGGCCAGGTGGATGCCTAAGCAATATACAGAGAGACATAAGTACAAGCGCCTAGAAGGTTGGGAATAAAACGAAATAGTGCGGCCAGGAGAAGTGGAGGTATGGATTTGCCTTTTCTCTATTTTACAACGCAAAGTCAGTTAAAAAATTTGCTCTGTTACATAAAAACTTCAATTCTGGTAGCATATGCGGGACGGAGACATTACTGGTAACACAGACGAGGACGAAAAGAGCCTACCTCTCTACAAACCGTAGAAATTTGTCCCTCATCCATGAGAGTCTCAGTAACCACTTCGGTTAGCGAGCCTCCATCCAGGTATTCCATGACAACCCACAGTTCATCCGCCTCCACCAGATAAGAGTCAAGGTAGTTGACCACGTTAACGTGTTTATTGCCCTTCATCACGAAGATCTCATTCACAATCAACTCCTTCTTGGGCTGTAGCTTTAGGTTCATCTGCTTGATGGCCACGCGTCGACCCGTGGCGGTCTCAACACCCAGACTCACTATTCCCGTCGCGCTGAAATGCAACAGGGAAACAAGATAAAGGTTAACAGGTACATTTATAAACTGTCGAGATGATTTTAAGAAAGGCTGTGAAAACGCTGTTCAAATGACAAATTAATAATGGCAATGATGGTGAAAATTGGTGGTGTTTACAGATTCATCGCCGTCAGTATTTGCCTATCTTGTGGGAAGAGGAACTGCAGGGTGTGTGTGGGTTAGGTGATTGGACTTTCTGCCAACTACGTAGCCTAAGTACGGTGGCTTTTTGCGAAAAACACCGCACACTTAGGGGCACCTAGCTTTGATACAAAATGAAGCAAGAAGGACTGTTACTTAAATCTGGGCAGGCGAAAAAACTAAACACGAAATTACTCAACCTTCAATCCAAAGCAGATTAATGTTTCCAACTTACTAACCCAATTGACTAAGTAATTAGTACATCTATTACGGATAATGAACCAGGGAATGTAATAAACGCATCAAGAATCGCTACTTTTGCCGTTGCCATCGCCTTTGAAGGGATCCTGGAGACCAACACCTACAAATGTGGGCGGGGGTATGCGAAATTAAATGCTTCTGATAAAACTTGGCATTACGCTCGACTTTAATCGCCATGCCAACCAAGGAGGGCAAAGCCATTCCTTTTAAAAGCAAATGACACTTTATGACATCTGGATTAATCATAGGACCGAGTCTGACGGATGCTGTCAAGTGACCAAAAAAGTTTTTGTGTGGTTTTTGGTTCACCTGGCCTGTTGCGTCCTGTAAAATGCACATGGGCGTTTACAAGCATGCGTCATAAAGCGTAGACATCCAGTTGGTCCTTTGGTGGAATACGCTTTGTTATGCTCTCTACTATTTACCTGCTCCGCCTTTCTAACCTTCCCATTTGCAAAGTGTCGGTTGAATTGAGCTTGCTGAAGTCCATGTAAGAGCAGGGATTTCACGTCTAATTTATTGTATTGCATTTGGAGAGGTTGCAGGGAGGGACAGCAGATCATGTCACCCAAAAAATAGTTGAAATACAAAAATAAACGACCAAGTGAGTAAAGTAAATAAGTAAATGGATTCTTATGGTTATCCACTTAAAGGAAGAAGCAGTACGTTCGTGACTACCCCCGATTCTCAATGCTCAATCCTCCACCATCAATCTTTGATAACGATGAAGCATACCCTTGAAGGTGTCAATCATGGCTCGCAGCAATATTTAATGAGAGGAGGGTGACAAGACAACTGGTTTACACCTGTATCAAATGGAGAGGGAAAGTGAAGGGGTTCAAGCCACATGCATTAACACTGGATAACAGGCAACGAGCCTCAAGAACCGCCAATTTGATATTCTTAAATTTTTTTCACATACACAACAAAAAACCTGATCGAATGACTTACAGACTGGATTGTAATGAGGAATGGCTTTCGCATGTAAAAGTACGCCAAGTAAACGATCAAATATGTCATTAATGACCCCAGAAAGTGAGTGTGTGTGGTGGATCGCAGGCGCAATCATTTATCTGATGAGAGTCATTCACGTTTGGCACCCATTTACTCAATACGGCACAATTTGAAGATGCCGAGGAAAACTCAACTTTCTCATCCTTCAGACACCCAGGACTGGTGAATCATTTAGACGGTAATACATCGTAAGACCTCGTGCCGTCGGAAGACCGACCTAAAAGACACCACATTGCACCTTGGAGCGGAAAGAACAAGGGTAGAACGCCAATTATAGGCGGTTTGGGAATGAATGTGGGATAATAGGGACAAAGCCTCTTACAAAAAAGAAACGTACAGTAAGTTTGTGTCTAGATGGAAATGAATTACTGAGTACAGACTGTAATGACGATCATCCCAGAAAACAAAAAATCTGAATAAGCTTTCTGGAGCTATTTCATTTTCATTACAAACCTACTGAGTTACCTTGTATTTGTGGGCTAAAGGACCCTCACCTTACCGCGACTTAGTTAAGGGTCAATGACCTAGTTTTACAGAAAGTGCGGTTGAGACGGAAGAGGAGATTTGCCTGTTTTGCCAACAGGACAGCAGTAAAACAACACGTTTCGTAATGAAAAGGACCACTTTCCAAATCTAAATGAATTAAAGCCACAATTCAGGAGAAAATTTGCCCCAACTACCATACTTTCTAGAATTGTCGAGCACGTAGAAATTATTTTCTTTTTGCACTACAGAGAAAAGGGTCATTTACTGAAGACTTATTATGGTTTAGTACTAGATTTTGTGGGAAAAGTAACCACATGGTGCATAAATGAGTGACATCTTCCGTTCTACCAGCAAGGCAACATAGGCGAAATTGGTATTCGCTCAAAAATCATGACGTCTTGGTCTATGTAAAAGTGGGACTGAAAAGCAAGCTTCCTCAAATCGAAGCTAACATGCCTGTTTACCGTCCAATCATCTGTGTACCACTCCAGTTGCTGTGGCCGCTGTTCCCATTTATTTAGTCATTCATTTAAGCACCCATCGACCCCATTATGGACAAAGGTGTAAGTGTCTGTCCGCCTGTGAGGATTTGCTATTGGCCCCCTAACGCCACAAGGCGCAGGTAGGACGAGGAGGAGGAGGGAATCGGCAGTCCATTTTTTTCATTCAGAACAATCTGAAAAGTCAGAATAACAGTTTGGGTTTTCTGCAAGCGAGTAGTTACTCACCTACCTTGTCATTTGGAGAATCACCAGAAAGGAATTGCGTCTGTACTGAAGACGTCTGAATTTGGTATTTATTTGTGTAGAAAAAGCAACCACAAAACGCAAAAAAATGGATTATTATTTTTCCATTCTGCCTATGAGGCAACACCAACAACCCCGATGTTTACCCCAAAATTTAATGCGCTTTCGGACCACTTGACGTACATACAAAAGAGAGCCAGAGATAACATTTCTTTGAATCAAAACAACTAAGAAGGTTCATTTGGCGACAAACTCATCCCTATTTATTTATTCACTCGATTAAGTAACTAGCTGATCCACTATGGGCGGAGAGAAGGGGGGCGTCAAGACTTCCTGTTGATGTCTTTTATGTGTTTTTGTCGTTTATGCGTAAGAAGCAACCACAAGGCGTACATGGGTGGAGAAGGGGGGAGGGGACAGGAAATGCGCCCCAAACGAAGGAAATGCTGGCAGTAGTTGCGCAATCAATCGGAGTCAGAAGGCAGCCAAACCACAGAGCGTGCTGGCTTACTGCAATGCCACAAATTTGGCACGTTAGTTCGTGTGTGCATGTGTGTAATGAGGGAAGAGGCACGCAAACCGCAAATAGGCGCGCCGCTCACACTCTCATATGGATACGGTTATGGGGGGTAATGTTTAAGCAAACAGATGGACCAAATGTGTGTGCATGTGTTTGTGATGGGAGGCTCAAAAAACCACCCATAAATACATGCAGGTGTACGAAAATGGACCAGACCGCCAAACCACCCAATGAAGAGGTGGTATTGGAGAACGAAAGACTTCATGGATATATCAGCACAGCAATTAGGTAAAAGGCAGTCTACGATGAATCTACGGAGTCCAAGAATCGAAGAAAAAAGAGAAAGAAATTGCGAGACAAGGGTTGAATTTCTCGGCCATAACTTCTGCATCTTGAGCAGCACTTCCAATGTTAGCGGTGCGTTGTCAAATGTGTGACTTGACCCACCTTTCCAAATAGGATCAAGTTCTTGGTTGTGTGACAGACGGCACAAGAAAACCACAAAAGTATACGAAGGTGGACCGGAGAACAGGTAGGCAGATAATAACGATAGTCCACCACCAAGTACGTCGCAAATGACATCTCGACAGGAGAGACCTTGATTACGCCTACGCATTGAGACAAAGCATTACTCCAGTCAGTGGATGGTTCATGACAATTTTTTCCCAGTAAATAAAAAAACGAAAAGCCCCATTACTATCACGAAGCCGTACAACAATTGAAAAATGTGACACGGGCGGTAGAATTGGGAAGGTCACTTCGGCACAGCCTGCAATATTGGACGGAGACAATGGACTGCTTCCCGATAGATGGATTTGTATCGGTAGTGTAGACTCACTTCTTTCAAGGAGATGAATTACGGATCCCATACTTGATTAACTAGACAATTAAGCAGACACTAGCCACCTCTTGGTAATCTGCCATACATTAAACAACCGTTCAAAGGGGCAATAGCAGAAAGGCAGGCTTCGAGATCACTGACTTCCCCCATGCTTGCTGGTTTGATTCGAGCAGCAGAATCCAGCACGCTACCCGTCCTCTTCAGCCTGCCGACGCGGTGTGAGTGATCTGCAATGGCGTCAGAAATTCCTGTTCAGTCGTGTGTTTCCTGAGCTATACTGGCATGAAAACCCAAAGCAGCCTACTTTGAGCTCGACTTCGATCTCCTTTAACGTTAAAGTCGTGCGGTAGAACACAACGTCTGAAACTCCGTCGCAGTGATAAACTGTCGTCAAAAAAGAACACAGGGCCTAACCTTTTTCACAATTTCACCACCCTCCAGATGCTACAGACGAATGCACAACTCATCCCCCAAGGTTGAAGATCTCAGCATTAAGTCAAATTGGGAAATTATAAACACAAAACGTTGCAGAGAAGAATAAACCGAAATTATTTGAAGGATAAACTCACTTCCTGATTTATGCACTGAAATCTTCGTACTCTGTGGTAGCTTAACATAGTCTGGAGGCCACACATTGGTCCCATACACTCACATCACATGCAATACTTAAAATAGACCTCACTTTACTGCTTGAGGTAAAATCTGTAACCAAATTCAACCTACGCAGGGATTCACAAAAAGGCATTAAAACAGAGAAAGAGGATGCCCTCCTGCCTCCAAGCAGCAAGTTAATGTCCTAAACTTAACCCAAAAAGAACAAATAAGAACAGATTGACGTCGTGGCAGTAGAAGGAAATAGAAAACTTTAGTGGACGCACATCGTCTTAGAAAAGATATCACAACAAACGAAGAGGCACGTAGCGCGGGCTGGCGTCGTAGCAATAAAAGTAGCAGCAGATTTAGTCATGGTATTTATAGCCAAATGCACTGGACCAGCTGTGTGCTGCTGTTGTTGGACGAGGATGAAGGTGAAAAAAAAAGGAACGCCTTTCTGTGGAGGGTGACAGGGCCGCAGCAGCAATGCGCGGACGGGTGCAACGCGACAGTGTAAACAGAGACAAAGGAGAGCACGCGAAGCAGCAGAGTAGATACGGGTAGAAAATGCTGCACAGATGTGGATGGATGCGCTTTGGGACTGGTCAAATTTCCGTCTGCGCTCTGGCCACCTGACACATTTGCTACCAGCAATATCATGTATGTGCGTCACCCTGATTTTGTTACCTGTTTTTGGCATGATAAAATATGTGACTTGCATTCTTTATCGGTATAATGATAAATGGTTGCCGCAACTCATATCGTGGACAGGTTGGTTGAGTGGGAAACAAATGCGGAGATGCCCACAGTCCGAGAATAGTTAAATTTTCTCTTAGTTTTTAGAATTTTATAGGTACATCCTTCAAAATTGACGACAATCAGTGTCATCCTAGAACAATGGAGCATTGGGATTGCCTCGATTTCCCCTCTGAGACACCGGCAGCAAGAGTGTTAAAGGGAGAGTTGAAATAATGGCAGGAAATTATCAAAGGGTCCTTCAATTAGTGAAAACGACTTGATAGCAGAAAAGACAGCTAGTCCAACTCACCCCTGTCCAATCTTTTCCAGTTTGCGATATTTGTCTGCGGGACTGCCTTCACTAACCAGGAGTCTGAGGTGAGCATACACCTCCTCGTCGGTCATTTTGGACTTCATTTTGGCCAAAATGGCATTGTGGTCGCCGTCATGGTTATGATGATGGTGGTTGTGATGGCTCTTGTTGTTATGATGATATTCCTGTTTGCCGGAAGTTAGGTCAGCGGGAGCCGTGGCGACCTTGGTAGGAGGGGAGGAAGGGGTGGAGAATTGGCCATCACTACCACCACAGCTGGCGTCCACACTCGCCGTTGTGACACGGGGCATCGGATGTGGGGAGGATCGTGTGGGCTTCTGCTCGCTGGAGCAATTGGGATTATTTTGATGCTGCAGCTTGGGCGTTGCATCCGGGGCATCGATGGGGATAGTGTACTGAACGCAGAGAAAGTTAAATAGTTACGTCGGAAAATTACTCCAAGCAGTCACGGTTTTAATTGTGTTACCACTAAAGTAAGGTGAAATCCATATGAGTCCTTCAATCCCAGCTAGTGGAGATCTTCATAACACCAAGTACCTCACTATGGCGTACACATAGAAGTAATCATCGATTTTCATTCATGGTGCTTCTGTTGAAAGTCCGTCAATGAGGATGCACCCACACTCGTTCAGGCCCATTTCAAGCTTGGATGAGTTTTTACTGGGGTGATGTAGCGGAGTAACTAATACTTTAGCCTCTCTTGAATCGCCCTCCACTCTGGTAGCACAAAACGGATGGCGATGGTAGGCGACTCACCTCAAAGAAACAACAATCTCGATTTCGGTGGCTGGATTTCGCATTTAAGTGTCACCTTTTATGAAAGATTGAATATGTGAAGGACTACCGAGACCACCTTGACCTCTGAAAACTTTGTCAACATCATGTTCCACACAATGTCCAGCAGTAAAGGAATGGGGAAACTGAAAATTCACGCCGCAGAGAAATGAGAATAACTCTGATAAACGACCGCTGCTTCTTACTAGGTCCTCAGGGATGACTTGGGCGCTACCTTTCCTACGATATCAATGTGCGATTCTAAGCTAAAGTAAGGTAGAGAATCTTAGCCACAACGACCGCCTTATCCGTAAGATAGAAACGGATAGAATGCATGATGCTCTCAACGATATCTCAGCCTCAAAGACGTAAACATTGTTTCATGTCAACAAAATAAGTTTTTGAAATCGTGGTTCAAGCTAAAACATCACTTCCTTTCAAGCACTCTTAAGCACCTCCAATTGGAGATCTGGTGTGCCCAGAAAGCTGGATAAAGTCCAAAGAGCATCTTAAGAGTACCGTGAGGGGCGAGATTGCAATGGCCACACACACTTCTAGGAGGCTTTAAGGCTAACCTGAACACGAACAACCACGCCTTTTGCGGCATCGGAACGTGATTCCATAAAAATAATGCCTTAAGGTCACGAGGAATCTGAGGTCCCGCATAGTTCTTACAGGATGCAATGACTACACCCAGTTTCGTGCATGAACCAGCATTAACACATTTCAGAAATTGTTTTTTTGTGAGCACAAGTACCACGCAAATCCGTGTGCGTTGACCTAAAAAGAGAGATTCGTGACTAGGCAACTCCGACCTACTCAAAAGACTGTGATCGAGAA